GGTGTCCTGACTTCTAATCCAGGCCTCTCCCAGTAGGTGGCGCTGTCTCTCAGGGGCAGCAGGCTAGGACAGAAGGAGGTGGGAGGGAGGAACGGGCTGCACATGGGCAGATACTAGATATTGAGCTTACCCTGCTCTGGACACTGTACACAGCAAGCCAAGGCCAGTGTGGCCCTGGTCCATGTGGCGCTCCCAGGCTGTTAGGAAATGCCAAGGTCACTGGGCCCCAAGGGGTGCTGCAGGCAGCACGTGATCATAGATGACTGGAAATACTTGCAGTGGGACAGACTGGATGGACACTGAGTCCTGAAGTACCATAAGTTCATGAAAATTTAGAGACTTTGGGGGAGTCCTTATACTTCCTCCACATCACAATTACAGATACAAAAACTGGGAAATCATTTAGTTCAGTGGCTTCCAAACTTTTTTTAATATCACTACTTAAAGGGCCAGGAGATAACTCGGTGGCAGAAATGCCTGCCTGGCAACCGCAAGGTCTTGAGTTTAATCACCCATACAAAAAAAAAAAAAAAGCCAGATGTGGTGGCTTACACTTTGTACGCACCAAGGGAAGGTGAGGCAGGAGGATCCCAAGTTCAAGTAACACCTGGGAATGTGGGGAGACCCTGCAGTGGCCCTGACTCCTCATCCAGTCTCCTAGGGGTTGTGTAGCCCAAAGGTCATGTCCCAAATGAGTTACCTGACAGCAGACTTTAATACTTCAGTGGTCCCTAACATTGGTTTGGGATACAGCACACACTGTGCACAGAATATTTTAGAGTTTTAGCTGAGCACGATGAGTAGTTCCAGCCACTCAGGACTCTGAGACAGGAGGATTATAAATTCAAGGCCAGACTGAGCCACTTGTAAGGCCCTGGCTCAAAAAATAAGGTCTGAGGGCCAGCGAGATAGCTCGGTGGACTAAAGCACCTACTTAAGCAAGCTTAGGCAAGCTCAGGGACTGCAGTCCGGTCCCCTGCACCACATGCCACCCCCACGGTGGGCTGAGCTGGCCAGAGTCCAGGCACAGTGGTAATCCTAGCGCTAGGGAGGCTGAAAGCAGGAGGAGAGCCTGCAACAACCAAATACATTAAAGATTACTACTACTACTACTAGTACTACTACTACTACTACTACTAGTACCACTAGTACTACTATTACTACTGCTAATAATGTCTGGAGCCAGATATAGAGGTGCATGCCTATAATCCCAGCACTCAGGAGACTGAGGCAGGAGAATCACAGAGAATTCGAGGCCAGCCTGGACTACATAGCAAGATCCTGTCTCAAAACAATTACAAAAAGTATTAGAGTTTGAAAAATAACATTGAAAGATCCGGGCCTGGTGGCACACCCCTGTAATCCCAGCACTGGGGAGGCTGAAAATAGGAGGATCACTACAAGTCTGAGCTGCATAGTGAGACCCTGTAACAAATACATTACAATAATAATGATAATAGCATTGAAAAATATTTTTTTAAAAGTCATGACTTTCCCATGTGCCTCCATTATTGTTTCTGGAGTTGTGGGCAACACAGGGAAGAGAAAATGCTAATGTGACCAATTCAGCTCACCACCTCCAATTGGAAGGAAGCAGACCAGGCCACACGGTGGCTTTGCAGAACTAACTCGGCTCTCCTGGGGCCTAGGACAGTCTGTAACCCGCTTCCCCACCCGCAGGTGGGCCAGGATCTTCCCTGGGCTTACACACTCGGCCTGGTGCCCCCACGCTTCGCTGTGCCTGTGCCCAGACACTCGCAGCTGACCTGTTTGAAAACACGTTCTCCAAGCAGTTACCTAGGAACTGAGACCCAGGTCCTGCTGAGCATAGTCAGCCCCCAGACTCCCTGTGAGGACTTGCGGGATGGCAGGCTCCAGGCCTGGGCAGCTGTGGCCTTCTGTCCTGTTGGGGAAGGAGGCACCAAATGCTGTGAAAGCTGAGACCCCAGGCTCTGTGATCCAGTAAGAGGGCTGCGCCCCTGTCCTGGAAGGGGGGATTCTTGAGGTGCTGCCCCTTTTCCTTCACATAATGCCATCTGTTAGCAGAATACTTAGGGAAAGCTGGAAATGGAACCCAGAGCTTCACACAGGCTGGTCGAGTGCTCCACCCAAGCTATACCCCCAAGCTTTTTATTTTTCTTTTTTCTTTTTTTTTTTGGTGGTACCAGGGATTGAACTCAGGACCCTGTGTTTGCAAGGCAAGCACTTATTCTACTGAGCTATCTTCCCAGCCCTTTATTTTTCATTTTGAGACTGGTCTCACTAAATCATGGAGGCTGGCCTCCAACTCATGATTCTCCTGCATCAGCCTCTGGAGTAGCTGAGACTACACATGAACATGACCCAAAATTGTGTGTGTGTGTGTGTGTGTGTGTGTGTGTGTGTGGTTATTGGGTATTGAACCCTGGACCTTTACCCTAAGCTACATCTCTAAACCTTTTTTTATTTTGAGATAAAATCTCACCAAGTCGATTAATTGCCCAAGATAAACCTAAACTTCCCATACTCTTGCCTGAGTTTTCTGAGTGCTGGGATTATAGGTATGTTCCACCATGCCTGGCTTTTTTTTAAAGAAGAGTCTTGGCTTTTTTTTTTCTTAGACATTTTTCTTTTTTAAAATCTTTTTTACTTACTTGGTACAGGGTCTCACTACACAGCTTTCACTCGTAATGATCCTCCTGTCTCAGTCTCCCCAGCGCTGGGATTATAGGAGTGCACCACCATGCCCAGTTTCCATGGCCTGCACAGAACACCCAGGGTTCCAGAGCCCACATGGCATGCAGTACTAGGGGTCAAACCCAGGTTCTTGAGCCTGCCAGGCAGGCACTTAGACCACTGAGCTATCTTCCCAGCCCAATAAGAAGAGTTTTAATCACATTCATGAAGGAAAGAATCATGTGATTCCCAGCACTACGCTCACAACATATAAATTTCCCCCTAGAAAAGAATCTAATTGGGGGCGGGGAGATGGCTCAGTGGAATAAGCACTTGCCTGGCAAGCACAGAAGCCTGAGTTCAACCCCTGGTTCCACCAAAAAAATAAATAAATAAAATAAGAATCAAATGAATTTTTATGCTTTTTATATTGGTAGAAATGCGGTAGAAGCACTTGCCTGGCAAGCGCAAGGGCCTGAGTTCAATCCCGGTTCAGCCAAAAACAGACAAACAAACAAGAAATGCAGTAGAAAACATTAAAATAAGTGAAGGAAATGCATACAACAGTATATTACAGTGGGTATACAAAATTAAAATTGAAACAATTGAAATTTTATTTTATTTATTATTATTATTTATTTATTTATTTATTTTTTGTATTCTAGGGAAGTGTCTATAGGGTGTTCAGGATCTCACTACTAGATCCAACGTGTAGTGATCCACCTGTTTACAGCCTCCCAAGAGCTAGGATGACAGGCTGCACCACCACGTGCACTCTCAATCACTGTCTCAGCGTGCCATGTCAGGGCCGGCAAGGCAGGCCTTGCCCCTGCTTGCAGGTGCTTTAATCCGCTGAGCTATATGGCTGGCCTCACAATTGAAGTTTTAGAGGCGTCTTTCAGATAATTATATTCTCATGTAAAATTACTCAATAGTAAATCCAGAATATATTTTTCAACACTTGCATGTTGTGTCTTTACTATTGAAATAAGTTGGTTTTGGACAGTACATTGTTTAAAGAGACCTCTTGTCTTCAGAAGAAGGTGGAGATGGAGCTCATATGGGGACATCTAAGGTGCCACTTTGGGTACTCTACTGCCTGCTCCTGTGTCGGGCGCTGCCTATGTAGCCCCTGGTGGTTCCCTAGGTTGCTGTCCACCAGGAGACCCACCCTCTGTTTCTTTCTTTGGTGCACCTGGAAGGGTACAAGGGGCCCCTAAAGCAGTCTGTGCAGTGAGAAGGTAATGGAACCACATCTGTTTGTTTGTTTATTTATTTGGTATAAGGTCTCCCTACCCAATGTGTACTCATAGTGATCCTCCTGTCTCAGTTCTTTAGCACTAAGATTACAGTTATGTGCTACCATGCCCAGTTTTGGTGTTCAGCACACAGGGGCCACAGCACACAGTATCAGGGATCAAACCCAGGTCCTTGCACCTGCCAGGAAGGTGCTTAGACCACCAAGCTATCAGAAGTCACTTAAAAGTAAAAATTCCAATTGGGTGTGATAGGACATGCCTAAACTCCCAGCACTCTGAAGGCAGAGGCAGGAGGATCACCACAAACTGGAGGCCAGACTAGGCTACATAAAGAATTCAAGGCTAGGTTGGAACATAGCCTTTTGAGACTCTGTCTCAAAAAACCCAACCAAACAAAGAAATCAAATAATATACTTTGTTTAACCCAATATTCCCAGTCTATTACTGCTGTAGTATGTAATCAATATAGAATATGATCAGGGAGCTAGATAACATTTTCCTTTTTCTGTCATGTTAAAATCTGGGATGTCCAGAGCCTGCCATATAGCTCAGTGGATTAAAGTGCCTGCAAGCAGGTGCAGAGGCCAGGTTCGACCCCCAGGCCTGCCATGCCAGCCCCACCCGGGGGTCGCACTGAGATGGCAATTGAGACTGGGCATCGTGGCACGCACTTGTAATCCCAGCTCTTGGGAGGCTGTAAACAGGCAGATCACTATGAGTCGGATCTAGTAGTGAGACCCTGAACACCTTGTAGACTCTTTTTTTTTTATTTTTTATTTATTTATGTGTGTCTCACCAGCCCCACCTTGTAGACTCTTAACCCTAAAAATAAAATAAAAAATCTGGAATGTCCAAACCAGGAGTGATGGTGCATGCCACCACTTGAGACCAGTCTGGGTTACAAGGCCAGTCTGAACCCTATTTCTTTTCTTCTTCTTCTCCTCCTCCTCCTCCTTCTTTTTTCTGAACCAGGAATTGAACTCAGGCCCTTGCGCTTGCTAGGCAAGCACTTTTTCTAGTGAAATATCTCCCTGGCCCCTCCTGTTAAAAGATCAACTGTTGGTTGTGTGTGTGGGTTTTTTTTTTGTTTGTTTGGTTGGTTGGTTTTTTGCGGAGCCAGGGTTTGAACTCAAGCCCTTGAGCTTGCCAGGCAAGCACTTATTCAACTGAGCTATCTCCCCAGCCCCTAACTGTTGTTTTTGTTGTTGCTGAGAATCGAACTCAGGACGTTGCCCTTGCCAAGTAGGTGCTTGTAGTGCTGAGCTATATCTTCCGGCAAGAAACACCAACTAAATAATTTTTTGAGGGGGTACCAGGGATTGAACTCAGGACCTTGTGCTTGCCAGGCAGACGCTGAAGCTGCTGAGCCATTCCCTTGCCCGACCAACTAAATAATTTTATTTTTTAATTTAATTTTGGCAGAACTGGGGATTGAACTCAGGCCCTTGCGTTTGCCAGGGAAGCACTTATTCCACTGAGCCATCTCCCCGGCCCCCAAATAATTTTAAAAGCACAAATAAATGAAATTCATGCTAACAATACACTTTATTTAACCCAATATTCCTAGTACATTAGGGTTGCAACATGCACTGAACAAAAAACATGCTCAGGGAGCTAGGCAACATTTTTTTCCCTATCACGTCTTTAAAATGTAGAGTGCCTCTGACTGGGCACATCAAGCAGGAAGAGCGCTCCTGGTCATGCGCAGCCCGCACTCGCAGCTAAGGATGGAATTCTAACTCTGTATGGAGGAAACGACCTTGTCCCTCTTCGAGGGACCCCTCCTCGAGACCCGATCGCTGGCGGCCACTGGCTCCCCAGGACGCACTGCGCAACCCAGCTCTTCCGGGTGGATCTGCAGCGGCAGGTGCCGGGTGGCGCTCTTGCGGCTGGTGCACTGTAGCGGCGCCCCCAGCCCGCGGTTGGGGCGGAGCTCAGGACGGCCCCGCCCCCGCCCCGCCCCGCCCCGCCCCGCCCCCACACTGCCAGAGCAGTCTCCGCCGCCCGGAACCCGGCCGGGCCGGCCGCCATCATGCTGAGCCGGCTAGGGGCGCTGCTGCAGGAGGCCGTGGGGGCGGTGAGGCGCGGGGCCGTGGGGCGGTGGGCGGGCAGGGCCGGCTCGGGCCCGGGAGACTTCGGTCGCGCCCCGCGAGTGCTCCCAGCGGCTCTTTCCGGGCTCGCCGCGTTCCCGGATCCGCTTACCAGCCTGGCGCCCGGAACCGCTTCCTGTTTCTGCTTCCTGCGGCCGAGCTCCTGGCCCGTGGCGCTCCTCTCTCGGAGCTCCTCGGGATGCCCATTCACTTCTCCCTGGTTGCCCCACAAGCCCTGCCCAGCCCCTCGCTGTCAACCACCTTCCTCTTCCTGGCCTGGTTGCCGCTCGTTCCCTTCTGAGTCCCCACAACTCCAAGCCTCGGCTCCCGGTGGGGCGTCCCCTCTCGGCGTGGAAAACGCGGGCCTGGGGCGACTAAGTCCCCCAGAGGCGAGTGAGGCCTGGCGGGGCGAGAGGTGGGGGTCGCTGAGCGCAGAGGATCCCGGATCACGCAGTAGCAAGTCAGACCCATCTTAAGCAGGAGGACACCGCTGGGTGGTCCTGCCTGCTATTGGAGAAATGTGTTGCTTTTTCATTGGTCACTTCGTAGGGGTCAAGGACATCACCCGTAGGCTGAGTCCACTCTTAATTGATGCATTTTAGAGTACCATATTGTTTCAGAAACAACCTTGGGGCTTATCTGCCCCAGTGGCAGATTTACAGAGAAAGTAAGAAACTTGGCACACCCCTCTCCTGTCCACTTCACCAGTCTTGCTTTGCCCAGGAGCAGGGCATGGAGGAAAGATTCCCAAATGACATTCCATGCCATGTCAAAGCATCTGTCCCTTTAGAAAGTGATCAGTGATTTAATCTGTACTCGTGAAGACTTCATTTGCAAGAAGAGATGGACAACTATTTAATGTTTCTGTTCAGTTTTTTGAGACACCGTTTTGCAGTGTAGTTTAGGCCTACCCTTGAACTTACGATATAACCCAGGCTGGCCTTGAACTCGCTGCATCCTCTCACCTCAGCCACCTCGTGAGTGCTGGGATTACAGATGTGCACCATCATTCCCATTTTACCCCTTAACTCTGCGGAGTGAATTTCTGCTGCCTGCAGTGCAGGAAGCATGGATGGTTTGAGATGGGGGGTCGGTGGGGGGGTTGTCTACTTTGAGCCCTTGGTGTGGAGCATGTAGAGGATGCCCAGGCTGTGGCCGGAGCTGTGGCTGGACCAGGGTGAGAAGGGATTCCCTCTTTTGCACTCCACCCCGATTTCTAGGGTTGAGGTCTTTTCTTAGGCTGGGTTATCAAGTCACATGTGACCCAGAAAAGTGCTCCGTCTGGCCCTCTCCTGACCAGTAGAATAGGAATCATTAGGGCTCCAAGAATGTCTTCAAAAGGAAATTCTTTGGTGCAGTTGCTTTGGCTTCGCGTTATCGTATCTGTAACAGATTCAGGTAGAGTTCAGTGGTTCCTTCTCTCTGCAGCCTAGGTATCTGTCCTGCCAACCTCCAAGTTATACCTGAGTGTTCCTCTTGGTTGGAACTGAGCTTTTTGGAGACTAATAAATGAAATCTGAGGCTAAGACCCCATCACAGAAACCAAATTCACTATTGTGCTTGCTGGCCAGGGTTCCCAGTGCTTCCCAAGACAAGAGCCATAAAAGGATATCTTCAGAGCCTGCTGAGACACTGGTCGAGGCTGTGTGCACTTGCTGGGTGCACAGAGGCAGAGCTCTTTGGGGCAGGCTGGTATAAAATGCAGAGCTTTGGGCCTCAGGGAGCTTCCAGGCCAGCAGAGATGTCAGCTCAGTCCAGCAGGAGCAGCTTCCCATGGAGGGTGATGAGATGCAGTGTTGTGTGGATGGAAGGTTGGGAAGGACTCTGGGTGGTGCTAGTCCCGGAAGGGTGCCCTTACTAGTAACTTGAGACTGCCTGCCTGCAGCAAGGGTGGGCAGCAGGTCAAGGCCCCTGGCTGGCGAAGCCTCTTTCTCACCTGTTGCCTCAGAATTCGTAGCATCCTTCCTGTGTCTCTTCCACAAGACACTAGGTGCCAATTGATCTTCCCACAACACTGCTTAGAAGGTGGCATTGATCTTTCCCTAGCTCCTAGCCACAGGCTTCTCACCTTGGCCTTAGCGGCCCACACCCTCATCAGGTGCTTGACAGAGCTCCTCAGCAGGCAGTCCTGTATCTTGCTTCTTGCAGGGAAAGCTGACCCAGTCCAAGTTTGGGTCTAGGTATGGCTTGAGAAAGTCTTCCCTGTCAGAAGCGACCCTTCTTTTCTTCCCCTCCTGGAGTCTTATACTCCTCCCATGTAATTTAGGTACTCGGACTGGCTTTATGTTATTTTCTCTGTGGTGGTTCTTTCTGACTGAGGTTGTTATCTTTGTGTTTTCCATAGCACCTTCTGTGACACCCTGCGTTGACAGGCGCTCACAAGGTAGTTAGTGAAGGACTTGACTAGATGCCCGACTCTGTGGTGCCCTAAACTGTGAGGCTGGAGAGAGAAGCAGGCAGGTGGAGCCTTGGAGAGAGCTGTGTGGAGCTGCTGCTAACCCTTCACTGGACCTCACTGGGGCCTCTTTGGACCCGGACACGCGTAGAGACACACAGGGCCTCTGGGGCAGTGAGTGGTCTGAGCAGAGACCTGGCTATGGAGACAAGCACCTGTTCGGTGGTTCATTTTTCTCCTGAAGATATTTACTCTGCAAGAAAGGAGAGAAATGGCCTTCAGTGGAGTTTCCGGGGCAAGTGGTCATTACGAGTTCAGGAGCAGTTCCAGCCAAAGTGTGGAGGTGAAGAGCAGGGCTGAGCAGTGTCATAACTCCACACCCACAGAGAGCAGAGCAGCTAAGGAGTTGAGAGTGACCTGGGGCCTTGGATGGAAGAGGAAAGCACTGTATGGAGAGGTGCTTCCTTTAGCATATGCTGGTGTTCTGCCTGGCGCCTGCCTACCCAAACACTGGACTGCTGCATGGTTGTATGTCCCTATGAGTGTCGGTGGCAGCAGGCCTGTGGTCACTGGCCCCCTGACTGAGGCCGTGTCTCTGCTCTCTCTGCAGCGGGAGCCCAGCATTGACCTGCTCCAGGCCTTCGTGGAACACTGGAAGGGTATTACACACTACTACATCGAGAGCACAGGTACGGCCTGCTCCTCTCTAACCCAGGGACCCCTGGGACTCCTAGGAGGAAGTGCCCCCTTGAAGAGGACTTACAGTGCAGGGGACTTGGGAAGGTGGCATCCATTGCCAGAGTTGGTGCTGAGCTAATGGAGAGTAGAAACAGTCCGATGGGGGCAAGACTAGGGCCATGGTCACCTGTGGTCTTTATGGATTAGTTGGTGGCCCAGCCCTGACATTTTGGGATTGGAGCTATGTGAGGGACCTACAGCGACAAGGAGGTGGGAGATGGGCTGACTGCAAGACAGAGGTAGCTCCATTTCCCCAGCTTCCACCTGGGCAGAGTCTCTCGGTTCTCCATTCCCAAGGGCTTATACTTAATGAAGAGAAAAGAGATGGAAGAAATTCTCCTTTTCCCTCAGGCAACTTAAGGATTTTTCCCTGGGAGAGATCTGGTTAGAAGACTAAAAACCAAGGTAGAGGGCTGAGGAGATGGCTCAGTAGAATAAGTGCACAGGGGCCTAAGTTCAATCCCCGGTTCTGCAAAAAAAACAAACAAAACAAAACAACAACTAAGGTAGAAAACATGCCTGAGTCCTTTTCAAGGGGATACCACAGAGAGCCAAAGCGTCAGGTCTCTTGGCCTACCAGGACCACTCACTGAAGGGCACAGTCTGATTGGCTGCTCTGTAGTTAGTACACCTATATTGGTGGGTACAGACTAGTTGCCAGGTAACCAAATCCTGTATCCCTAGCTTTTTGTCTCCCTGGAGTTCAGACTGGGTCTGATTCCAGCCTACACCTTTCTTAAAGGTTTCCTTTTCAGTTTGAATGAGCCCAAGAAATTACAAGGTGCCTTTTGGGAATTCTGGTGACCCTCTGTGAGTTCTATTAGATTGGGTTCCTCAGTTTGGGCACAAGTAACATTCAGACCGGATAACTTGTTGGGTGAATGTCCTTTGTGCTGTAGTGTGCTGAGCAGCAGTCCTGGCCTTTGCACCTAAGATGCCAGTACCCTTTCCCCATTATGACAGCTGTAAATATCTCCATATGTTCCCTGGAGAGCCACATTGTCAGGGAGCCCCAGTCCACAAGAGATTAGGAACCACCTACATCTAATCCTTTGTCCAGAGGGCCTTGGACCAGATGCATCTGAGAGTGTGAGGCCAGCTGCCTGGCTTCAGGACCGATGATGCCTTAAAGAGAAGCTAGGGGGTGCTGCAGGGCGGTCTCAAAGCTTTGTTTCTGGAAACAGCCGCTCAAGCTGACTCCCCATCACCCCAGTGGTGGCAGAGCAGGTGTGTGCATGCAGAGCAGATTGTTTGCTGCCTTGCAGAAAAACAGTGTTGCCTTCTGTGGTCGGCAAAGGGACATAAATAAGCCCCAGGAGATTTCTGCTCAGGAAGCTGCTAGAATAATGGCCTCTAAATTATCCATCAGACCTCTTGAGTCCCAGCTTCTCACTCAGGCCAGAGCAGACAGGCAGCCTTCCAACTCTACTGTGCACAGCCAGGATATGTCCTTGCCCCAAGGGTTGGGGGAGAACTATGAACCCCCTTCTGACACAGTGCTTGGGCAGGTAGATATTCTTGGTGAGAGAATGGGGGTCGTGTCCTGGTCTCACCCAACAGGGCTTTTGTCCTTAAATACGAAGCATCAGCGGTAAACTTCCATTTCCTGGTGGTCCTACCCCACCCCTCCTCACCTCCCTTCTGGGCTTGGCAGGAGAGGTTGCCACCTTGGACCCCAAGTGTCCTTCTGCACACCACTCACTCCTGTTCTCAATCTTGGCCAGATGAAAACACCCCGGCCAAGAAGACAGACATTCCCTGGCGGCTGAAGCAGATGCTGGACATCCTGGTGTACGAGGAGCAGCAGCAGTCAGCTGCTGGTGAGGCGGGGCCCTGTCTGGAGTACCTGCTGCAGCACAAGATCCTGGAGACCCTGTGCACGCTGGGCAAGGCTGAGGTGGGTGTGCCCAGCTGGGGATGCCTGGACCCTTCCATCCAGCTAGGCCCCTTCTTGCAGTGTCCCATCCCAGGGATGTGGCAGTGATAAAAGCTGATGAGGGTGCCTTTGGGTGATGGGCAGAATAATTGTGGGCAGTTGTTATTCATGGAAGACCTGTTCCTGTCCTCACTACATGGATGCACAAGCCTCTCAGATAGAACCAGGTCTTGAGAGCTGGCCAAGTAGCTCAGCAGATTAAAATACCTGCAAGCAGGCACAGGGGACAGGGGTTTGATCCCCAGGCCTGCTGTGCTGGCCCCACCCCTGGGGCACACTGAGATGGCAATTGAAACTGGGTATGGTGGCCTGCGCCTGTAATCTCAGCTCTTAGGAGGCTGTAAACAGGTGGATCACTATGAGTCCAGTCTAGTAGTGAGGCCCTGAACACCCTGTAGACCCTTCCCTAAAATACAGGAAAAACAAAACAACAACAACAACAAAAAAACAGGTCTTGAGTTTCTGGAACTAATCTCCATGGATACCATGAGATGCTACATTTGCATATAACTTACACACATCGTCCAGTACCTTCAAATGGTCTCTAGTTGCTGTCAGTACCCGATACATAGAAGTGCTGTCACAGCATTGGTTAGGGAGAAGAACAAAAAAAAGGTTTTGTGTGGTCAGTGCAGATGTGATTTTTTTTTTTTTTCTTTCAGAACTGGGGATTGAACTCAGGCCCTTGTGCTTGCCAGGGAAGCACTTATTTCACTGAGCCATCTCCCTGGCCCCAGATGTGATTTTTTAAAAATATTTTTTATCTAAAGATGGCTAAATCCACTCTGTAGAACCAGTGGGTATGGAGGGAGGGCCAGTGATCATATGTTTAATAATGACCCAGTTGCATGGAGCAAACTAAGGCAGGACAGAGGGCGAGGAGCACAAGGAAGGCCAGTTTCCAAAATTGTAGTAAGGGAAGGAGGCCTTGGGGTGGGAGGTGGGGAGCCCTGTGCCCCCCCCCCCGACAGACCCCTGTTCTGATCCAGTACCCCCCAGGCATGCGGCAGCAGGTGTTCCAGTTCTTCAGCAAAGTCCTGGCTCAGGTGCAGCACCCGCTGCTGCACTACCTTAGCGTCCACAGGCCCGTGCAGGTGAGGCCAGTGGCTGAGGGCAGATGGGTACATGTCCCCCTTTCCTGCTGCCCCATTCCCCTCTGCTTCTGACCTGTTCCACTTCTAGAAACTTCTACGGCTTGGTGGGGCAGTCCCTGGGTCCCTCACAGAAAAGGAAGAGGTGCAGTTCACCAGTGTCCTCTGCTCCAAGATCCAGCAGGACCCAGAGCTGCTCACCTACATCCTGGAGGTAAGCGCTCTGTGGGCAGTGGGTAGGGAGGCGAGGACCCAGGAAACCCCCTTGGCTCCCAAGGAACAGGAGGAGAGGGCCTGTGGGAGAGGTTTGGGCAGCTTCCGTGCAGCTCCAGCAGAGCCCTGTCTACTGCCCACCTGCATTCTTTTTTTTTGAACCCAAAGCCTTTGTGCTGAGTTACATTGCTGGCCCTCTTTTTAAATTTTTTTCTATTGTGAGATAGGGCCTTACTAAATCTCTAAGTTGTCTAGGCTGGGTTTAAAACTTGTCATCCTCCTGCCTCTACCTCCCAGAGTGCTGGGATTACAGCTGTGTACCACACTGGGCTCCACTGTATAGCCTTTTTTTTTCACTCTGCATTCTTAAGGAGATCATTCTTTTTTTTTTTTT